AAAACACCTCCTAGATTAGAAAGAAAAGTGGGGAAAAGTTCTGTTCTCGTGTCTGCTGAGCAGTAGAAGAAAAACTGTGTACATAGAGTTAAAAGATTTTTTTGTGTTTCTGACAAATCTTCGACTGACGGTGCTTGGTTGTCGAAGCTGTACTCTCCGGCTTCCTTCGCCGCTATTTCCAACAGATGAATCAAGATCTCGCGCGCGGCTTCTTCTGATATTTCAGCAACAAATTTAAAAACTTCATTCAACTTGAAGATCTTTTCAATTGAGTCGACTTTGAAAAGGGAATTGTTTTTACTTTCTTGAGATAACAGTTCTTCTTTTAGAAATAAAGAAGCCAAAAACTCCTGCATGGATTTGTGAATGAAGTGCACGGCTTTGCACGGGTTAAGAGCGGACATGTTTAGCAGCTGAAACAACCCGGCCTCGATCAGTTTCTCAGTCAAAACGTGATCCGGCAGTTTACTGACAGGAAAGTAAAGTAAATCTTGTAGAAGTGCGTCAAAGGCTAGTTCTCCTACTTTACAGAGTTCTTGTTTGTGGTCGTCAACTTTTTCCGCCGCCTTTTCTTGTTTTTCTGACACATGATTAAACATAGTCTGTATGAACTGGTCATAAATCATCACCCGTGATGAAGGTAGTCCTTCACGATCCTTTTCCTTCCAAACCAACAACAACATTAAAAGCAAAATAGGTATTTTTGCTATATCCTTCAGACTTTGTTGTTTCAAGTACTCGAAAAACTCTTCAACATCTTGATCATCTTTCAAGAATCTACGGGCGAACACTTCTTGTCGCTTACGGTCGAAACCGTCGATCTCAAATTGAGCTTCGCTGGATCTTTTCAATCCCTCTCCTTTCATGTCTCTAGACGTTATAATAACACAACAATCCCTCAACTGCCTTTTCTCCCAGATTTGAAGAACAGGTGATTGCCTTTCTGCGCTGTGTACGTATTCATCGTAGCCGTCAAAAATAAGCAACACTTTTTCTTGGTGGTGACGAACGTAATCGTACAGGTTGTCTGTGGAAATTGGGCCATCACTCGCAAGAAGATTAGCAGCGCTCAGAATGGCAGGGACATCGTTGAGGTTACAAACATCGCGTAATTTGACCAAAAGTACGAGATCAAATCTTCCTAACTTTCGTTCAAATCTGTGCTGGGACCAGTCGAATGTAGATTTCTGCGTAAAAACGGTCTTGCCGATACCTGGTCGTCCGTGAACCAAAATGCGCTTAGGCAAATGATGAAGTCTTCCGCCGTCAAAAATGTTGGTATAGTGTTCAAGCTCCTTCTGTGTTACTCCGCTGGGATCCTTCTCATCCATAAGCCAAGACAACTGGGTGTAAACTTTGTCAATGTGAACGGCAGAGCTTTGGTCCCACGGAACGATTTTGACTTTGCTGTTGGTTTCATAAATTGATCGCAGCTGTTTCTGGCACTCCTCGAGACAGAGAGAATCTGTGAAAGAAAATTTTACGTTCCTTTTTTCAAGAATTGTTCGTTAATAACTTGATATCTTAAAAGGCCAGGAAAGTTAAAGGGAGGTAGTTGACGCACAACATATAGGCCCTCATTTATATAAACTGATCAGATCACCAAAATTACAAATAAAATTTCCATATTTTAAAACAAATTATCCTCAACTCATGATACACCAACAAAAATGTAAGTAACAGTGCATGTAGATATCAGGGCTCTAAAACACCAGAATATAGGGTAGGAATATAAATACGACGGTCAAACGTAGAAGGAATGCTCTTTATTAATTGAATTTATTAATTCAGTTATCTATTCTATTTTCTTCTTTTTCACCTGCTTATACACACTGACTTTAATAAGGATGGGGAGTTAACTAGAAAATCTAACAGTTTACTTAGCTTCCCAGCTCGCAGTTATTATTTCTCTTATATTATAAAGTTATGACCTACCACAAATTTCAGTTATAAAAAAGTTAAAAATGTAATTTGCTCATAAGCTAAAGAAAGAATTATTAATTATTACAATTACAAATTATGAATATGGCGGGATGGGCAGCCTTAGTCGAGTAACATTTATATGTAAATGCCTTTGAAGACTGCATCAATAAAGCAAGTGTAAAGGGGCGTTACCCCACAAAGAGAGGTTCAGGGAGGAGACACCAATAGAGGGCTACCTCTCCAAAACCGTCAGTGACGTTTGTGGTTGAGTGCTAAAAATAATTCTTATTTTTTATAACTGGCCTTGAGGATTAATGCAAGTTAAAAATACCTTAGCAAAATTCTAACAGAAAAATTGAATGAGAAAAAGAATTTGGTGCTTGAAGTATCAATTCATACTTCTTTGCTACTTATTTCTGAAATAAATATAAACAACTGTGACAATAAAGATCATTTTGTATTGCAATACAAGAAACGATAAAAGTCATTTTCATATTCAAGCAAGTGTTTTTAATCTACTGTATGTCTGCATGTACCATTTTTGCTTTATTGATATAATAGTACCTGGTGGCTCCTCCTCGGTGGCCGTAGAGCTAGAGGGCTGTTTCCCTGGTGACAGGTCTGTGAGTTAAACAAAATAGAATAAAAATTGAAGTGAGACATTTAAAACAACAGTTATTCTAAAGCATTTGGGGATGTTCATCAATATGTCAGTTTTTTTACTGCTCACATTTTAGTTTCTGGGTCTGAATAATAAAGTTTTTATAACAAAAAGCACTGAGCAGCTTGTCTTGGGACTGAAAGTTTCACTGAATTGTGGGTGATACTGACATTTTAATTCACTAAATGATGTCTGGTTGCAGTGTGCACAATTTTAGACAATAAATTTATGTTTTAAACTTGGTTATGCAGGATTTCAGCTGCACACTGAGTTGATTCTGAAAGGGATCTAGTAAGCAGTTGCAGTTCAAAAACATTTTCAAAACAGGGAAAAAAAACAAAACAAAATATTTCCTGGGCCTTTCCAACCAATCAGAGGGTAGAGTTCTAGAATGATCTAATACCAGAACATAAAGCCACTAGAGCAGAGAGCTTACTAGTTAGAGTTCAAGGCTGTCACTATGGTTTCAAGTTTCAGAGCAGGGAATAGAAGATCCTGAAAATTCTTTTGGTCCTATTTTCCTTTTATTTCCTATGAATGTAACCAAGGGTCATGCTCATAGCAGCCAGGGGAAATCCACACCTCCCGGCCCTTAGTGACAGCCCTGTAAAGTTGGTCACTAGTGTCCTCAGGGCGTGGTGGGGGAAGGCGAGGGAGAAGGATATACTACCCTATTAAACAACTGTGGTGCTCGTCAAATAAAAAATTCAAAAAGTATCCCCAGAAGGTATCGGAATCTTGCTTTGTCAGCATGGAAGAAATTCATTTTTTTAAGATCTATAAGAGGTACCAAAAAGAGGAGGAGATACTTCCCTGCTGTGAACCTTGAAGAATTAATAGATAGAAGACAAAGTTTAGTAGCTGGTTACTGTCAGGGAGCTGTTGTGATTCTCACATACAATGAATTAGTAATCTCTTATTCACCTGTAACAGAACTTGTGCTTGGGCCAGCTTGCTCAACCCTTCCAGATGGACCTTGAAATACAACAACAAATAATTAGTCATTTCACCAGTGTCTTGTTCACAACTATGTTGTTAAATGAATTGCTTTTTTGGAGACAATGAACTGGATCAAATGCTTTTTGTCTTGCTGTACGCAATTCATGAATCTTTTAATAAATCTTCAAAATAAACCATTTTTTGAATTTTCCACATGCCAGCTGTTTGTAATTTTAATATAATTTAACAATGAGTACCTGCATCTTTATACCAATGACAAAGTGTGCATGTACATGACATACCATATCACGGTTGCACTCATGAAACAAACTCAAGTTCAAGCTCAAGTTTAGTGTTTACTGGTGACATTATAAACAGCAGGAACTTCAGTTGCAGGGACCACGTCCCCTGCTCTTTATGAACTAACAGTGTGTGGGTTCTTTAATGTCTCACGGAATTTTTATATACATGTATGATGGTTATTATGATTTACAAGTATTGTCCTTAATGGCCAGAAGACTAGAAAGTCTAACCATTTGCAGGCTCTGTCATACAAAAGGCAGCACTTTCTTCACAGTTGCATATATTTAGCTTCCCAGCTCGCACTTATTATTTCTCTTATATTAGAAAGATATAACCTAGCACAAATTTCAGTTATAAAAAAGTTTAAAATGTAATTTCACCATGACCTAAATAAAGAATCATTAATTATTACAATTACAAATTATGAATATGGTGGGATGGGCAGCCTTGGCCGAGTAACATTTATATGTAAATGTCTTTGAAGACTGCATCAGTAAAGCAAGTGAAAGGGCCGTTACCCCACAAAGAGAGGTTCAGGGAGGAGACACCAATACAGGGCTTGCTGTCCAAAGCCGTTAGTGACGTTTGTGGTTGAGTGCTAAAAATAATTCTTATTTTTTATGACTGGCCTCGAGGATTAATGCAAGTTAAAAATACCTTAGCAAAATTCTACGAGAAAAATTGAATGAGAAAAAGAATTTGATGCTTGAAGTATCAATTCATACTTCTTTGCTACTTATTTCTGAAATTAATATAAAGAACTGTGACAATAAAGATCATTTTGTATTGCAATACAAGAAACGATAAAAGTCATTTTCATATTCAAGCAAGCGTTTTTAATCTACTGTATGTCTACATGTACCATTTCTGCTTTATTGATATAATAGTACCTAGTGACTCCTCCTTGGTGGCCATAGACCTAGAGGACTGTTTCCCTGCTGACAGGTCTGTGAGTTAAACAAAATAGAATAAAAATTGAAGCGAGACATTTAAAACAACAGTTATTCTAAAGCATTGGGGGATGTTCATCAATATGTCAGTTTTTTTACTGCTCACATTTTAGTTTCTGGATCTGAATAATAAAGTTTTTATAGAAAAAAACACTGACCACCTTGTCTTGGGACTGAAAGTTTTACTGAATTGTGGGTGATACTGACATTTTAATTCACCAAATGATGTCTGGTCGCAGTGTGCACAATTTTAGACAATAAATTCATGTTTTAAACTTGGTTATGCAGGATTTCAGCTGCACACTGAGTTGATTCTGAAAGGGATCTAGTAAGCAGTTGCAGTTCAAAAACATTTTCAAAACAGGGAAAAAAACAAAACAAAATATTTCCTGGGCCTTTCCAACCAATCAGAGGATAGAGTTTTAGAATGATCTAATACCAGAACATAAAGCCACTAGAGCAGAGAGCTTACTAGTTAGAGTTCAAGGCTGTCACTATGGTTTCAAGTTTCAAAGCAGGGATGGAACATCCTGAAAATTCTTTTGGTCCTATTTTCCTTTTATTTCCTATGAATGTAACCAAGGGTCATGCTCATAGCAGCCAGGGGAAATCCACACCTCCCGGCCCTTAGTGACAGCCCTGTAAAGTTGGTCACTAGTGTCCTCAGGGCGTGGTGGGGGAAGGCGAGGGAGAAGGATATACTACCCTATTAAACAACTGTGGTGCTCGTCAAATAAAAAATTCAAAAAGTATCCCCAGAAGGTATCGGAATCTTGCTTTGTCAGCATGGAAGAAATTCATTTTTTTAAGATCTATAAGAGGTACCAAAAAGAGGAGGAGATACTTCCCTGCTGTGAACCTTGAAGAATTAATAGATAGAAGACAAAGTTTAGTAGCTGGTTACTGTCAGGGAGCTGTTGTGATTCTCACATACAATGAATTAGTAATCTCTTATTCACCTGTAACAGAACTTGTGCTTGGGCCAGCTTGCTCAACCCTTCCAGATGGACCTTGAAATACAACAACAAATAATTAGTCATTTCACCAGTGTCTTGTTCACAACTATGTTGTTAAATGAATTGCTTTTTTGGAGACAATGAACTGGATCAAATGCTTTTTGTCTTGCTGTACGCAATTCATGAATCTTTTAATAAATCTTCAAAATAAACCATTTTTTGAATTTTCCACATGC